GAAACATTGAGAATGAAATAGTTTTAGCGGTTGAATGAAAAGTCAGCGGTCCATAATATTATTATTCTTATTTTCGTTTACATTTTCACCTTTTTCATATTTATATATATGTATTGCAGAGCATGCCAATATTTATATTTATGATTTGATCAATAAGTGCTTTTTTTAGTATTAGGAGACAGATTCGTAAAAGCAACTTTGCTTGTTTCTGAATCCTAGATATTTATTTCAAGTGTATTATATTTTAATGTGATTATTTATTATTGATGCGCAGTGATCAGAGAAACATTTTTGGCCAAAGCTTTATTACAAAACTACAATTATAAACGTATTTAAATAGATTAACAACTAAGATATACCGATATGGTGAGTAGATAATCAAATGAACGTAGTCACCTTTCATATTGGCAAACTACAGAAAAAAGTAACTAGACAACTAGTATTTCTCTCTCTCTCTCTCTCTCACACACACATATGAATGGTTTAGAGGATAAATCAGGCCCCACCAGCCAAAAAAAAATGAAAACAACACTTTATAAATTGCAAGCGTCCAAAGCGCTTTGCTAGAATTACCTTTACCAGGAACGCCCAGGCCAAATATTTGAAAGCCAATGATGTATAAGAACCGACACAGTTGGATTCGTAATGATAGGGTAGAAAATTGAAAACAAGAAGTTTAATAATTTCATGCGACCGAAGCGCTTTTCTGGATTTACCTTCATCAGGAACGCTCGAAGCCAAACATTTGAAATCCGAGGAATGTATAAGTACCGAAACAGTTGAATAGCTATATGACAAAAATATATATAATACAAAAAACAAAGAGCCAAATTCATCTAAGGTCAACTTTGCCTGAGGGAGTTGAAACCTTAGTTTCTTTATAATTTCAAAATTTATAAACGGATAATTTTAGAAAGGTTTGTTATAAATCATGTCAGTACCGAAGCACTGACTACTGAGCTGATGATACCCGCGGGTACTGATAGTCCACCAGCAGAGGTATCGACCCAGTGATTTAAAAAATTGAAAACAACACGTTTAATAATTTCATGAGAACTGTCAGAATCTGTTTTAGAGTAGAACAGTTCTAAATGACGTAAATAAGAGCAGATCCCTGTAATATAGAATATATTAGATTTTCCATGTAAATACTATTGTAGATAAAATGGAGTAAAAATAATTACAGTCTTGGGTGTATGTTTTAGTTCTTTTATTTCTCCGTATTTGCGTAATTATCATCAGAAATGCAAGTAAACAATGTTGACGACTTCAAGTCTAAACCCCCTGATTGCACCTGTGCTAGTTCCCCATTCGTATATACTAGTAGTCCCGCAGGCCATGTTATTACTGGCGACCTGCATATTGCTAATAACACTTCTCTGCGAAATGTGTTTCCCAAAGGCCCGAACTATCATGAGCCTAAATCCATCTACTGGAAATACAACTTCATACTAATGGAAGACGAGGTAGATAGTCTTTCCGAATAGGTAAAATCTGTGAGGTCATTTATACACATTAGAATTAAAAACAAACTAAATGGGTCTATGAATACACATGCCACATCGATATTTAAAGACCCAAATGTTGCTAAACACCTCCATAACAAATATGTTATTGTCCCCGCAGATAAAGCCCCAAACAACATAGTTTTTGTGTGTAAATCACATTACATAAACTGCTTGATAAAAAAATAAGGTATTGACAATTTACTTGGACTTACTCAACATATACCCCAACGACACTGACCAAGGAAGAAATCCTGAATATCCAGAGGTCTGTTCTATTTTCCGTCGGAATTTTAACCAAAGATGAAGAACTGGATCTTCCTTTACTGTATTGGATTCTTAGATTACACAATAACATAAACGGTACCAATTTTACTCCACCAGATGCGCATTTCGACAATTGTTGTCTCTGCAGTGATGTTCGAAGCCAAAAATTTGTAAATAAAAACCTAATACAAACGTTGAAGAGCTGACATAAGTGTAATAACAAACAACGTTATATGGTTCGGTCTTCCAAGTTCTCCCCAAAACCTCTATCTGAATTATTAACATCAGGGAGTACTTTGTAAAAAATCATTCTGATTTAAACAAAAGATTCTCTGAAATTGACATTATCGAGATGTTTGTTTCTTGATTGACAACATATTTATTACGTTTGCATGGAGGACGTGTTATTCAACAAACAATCGGCATTCCCATGTCATTCAATAAACTCATCATAGATCCCAGGATTAAAATTTTGTACGCGGAAGAATGGAAGCTTTTAACCAAGAGTTCCAGGCGGTTAAGTTGAAATCATCCGTTCGAAACTTTCACGGATGCCATCACGAGTTGGTTAGCCGTTATGGAATATCTGTTTCACAGATGACGACGGATATGTTCCACTTGTCGTAACCATAATCCTGTCCTCGAATGTGACCTACCGAATAAGACTTATCACCAGGTTTGTACTTACATATGCAACACGACTAGGCCACGTGTGGAGCAGGATATGCTTACCCTTTCGGAGCACCCGATATCTCCCTCGGTTTTTTGGCTGGGTTTGTGTTGCTCAGTATTTAGTTTTCTGTGTTTCGTTTTGTATACTGTTTGTCTTTAGATCATTTTTCATTTTTTGCCATTGCATTGTCAATAGATATAAAAAGATGTGGTATGAGTGCCAATGAGACAACTCTCCATCCAAGTCACCATTTGTAAAAGTAAACCATTATAGGTCAAAGTACGGCCTTCAACACGGAGCCTTGGCTCACACCGAACAGCAAGCTATAAAGGGCCTCAAAAATGACTAGTGTAAAACCATTCAAACAGGAAAACCAACGGTCTAATCTATATAAAAAACGAGAAACGAGAAACACTTATGAACCACATTAACAAACGACAACCACTAAACATCAGGTTCCTGACTCAGTATGTTTTCGACTAATTAGTCTGACTATCCCTTTGGTATCTTTCATCTCTCTCTTTAATATATTCTAGTTACAATATAAACATACTGCCCGTGGATGAAGGTGTTAGGGTAGATTAACACACGAGGGAAAAAATTATCACCCAAGACGAAGTCGCGGATGATAATTTTTTCACCGAGTATGTTAATCACCCTAACACCTTCATCCAAAGGCAGTATGTTTTTTATTATACTGAATGCCTTATGATTCCAGTGTGCACTGTGTTATTAGGACAATTGTAAAAAAAATAAAGTCATGAATTAAGATAGTTTACTAATTACAACAACAAAACGATGGAAATGGTGTTGAAATAAGAATCGGTAAACCTCGGCCGGGGCGGGTGTTAATTGTTCTGGATCGGCAAACTTCGGACTCGGCGGGTGTTAATTTTAGGCATTAACACCCGTTGCTAATATTATCACATGTTGCTATGGGTGGGCGGGGCTTATGAAAGGTAAGTTAAAATTAACAAATACCGCGTGTCCAATTAAATGAATGGATGATATAAGAAATTTGCATAAAGTATAATAAAAAACAATAACACAGGTCACGGAGCACTTGTTACAGATAAATATTTGGATGTCTATTACTGTACTACTGATTCATTCAACATATAAGGATTACACAGTGACAATATAACTCTCTCTGGGATTGTTTGTATACCCGAGTTAACCTGACATTATACGATCCAATGAAATGATATTTACATGGTTTAGTTTAATAAACTTCTAAAGGTGTCAAGATAACTGTTCGCCACACTGTTCAAGAGAGGTTAGAACTGATCCCAACTGTACATTGATGCACCTCTAACTAAAAGAGTCAACAAAAGAGTTCAAGCTTTGTCTGTAAATTTACCGATTGTATTCTACAACTCTAATCACAAACGGAAAAAAAATGACCGAGCCTCTGTATTTGTAGGTTCAAAATGTGTGTTAATCTAAAATGATGGTCAATTCCTTTACGCTGAGCATGCAGCACTAGAAATAACCAAAAATGTCTAGCTCTGAGTCAGAATGTTATACCCTATTACAGTGATATGTCTCATGAGAACTGTTAATAATCGAATCATTCAGTGTTTCCACCGCCACTATTTAGTCATTGCGTGGCAGCGAAACGTTTAAACACAACAAACTAACTAAAATTTGAAAAACAAAACATTACGCACAATTGCACAATGAAATCTAACTCATATGAAAATATCTGACAAATGACAATAAAAGAACCTTGTTTAACTGCTCAACAGTGGTCGCCATATGTTACCTTCATCCCATGGTTTGAAAAAAAAATCAGTGCTGCTGCTTATATGTAATCTTATTTTTGCCTTTGACACATTCATTAGATTTTTTGTAATACTATTTAATACTACTAATATGGCTATTTTATTGCCAAAAACAATAGTTTGCGAAAATCCAGCGAAATATGTATGTGTGTTGGAGGGGGTCATTGACAATATTGCCAATTTGCACTGAACTTGGTAAATTCAAGAACATGGAGAACACATACCACTGGCTAATTGGCGGATAATATCATGTAGTTTTATAGTCCTTTGCAGCGTTACCGACTAGCTATACCAATTTCAGTGCTCAACGACATGTGTATTTAAATAATCGCGTATAACCAAGAGCATGAAGGTAAACTAAATAACATGAAATGTTAGGACCTATTGCATAATAACCTGCTGTCAGCAGCCAAACTAAATTCTAGTACAAGTACGTAGTTTACAGAACTTTTGAAACAAAGTGTAATATTGAAATCATGCCAGCACTAACTACATGATGGATGGTATCCTCTTGATTTAACTGGCAATAAAAACCTACTCTGTATCGACATACATATTTGATGGAACTAGATTAACAATAATACTGATAATTTCTTTTCATGACTATCCGATTATCAAAATATAATAGAAATAATTTCCTTTTTATATCATTATTTAAACAGGTGAGAAGTGGGGTCGAAATATGCGGAATATCAATTGTTTATAGATTGTGTTAAAATGTATAATTATTGATCAGCTTAATAAATATTATTTATTTTTTTCATTATGTAGAAGTAGCAGATTTTCTAAAATATCCACTGTCATTAAATGGTTTGCAATATGGAGTTTACAGATCTGTAAATAAATTTATGAATGATGAGCTGGAGTATAAGAGGATGCAGCTAGTAAATAAACCAAGGTTTGTAGTAAATTTCCACTTTTTCCATTAAAAATAACAGCCTAACCTAATTGCTGTTCCTGTAAATGGTACAATAACAGTTTTGGCAATATCGAGACTCGCTTACTCGTAGAAGTTAGCACAAATTTGCAGCTCCTCGTCCAGTCAAATGCCATTAATTTTCCCTTCTCATACTTTTTTTCCGTATATCAATATTTATTTCAGACAGTTATTACACTGTAACATAAGAAAATTTACAAACACATCTATACACATACGTTTATATGTATACGTCACAGACATTTCTACTTTTCGATGAGAATTCCGCTTTTTTTACATTAAAAACTGCCACTTATGTAATGATATGATAGAACAATGACAAAAAAAGAGAAACATAAGCTGTTTTAACAAATTATAATAACCTCAGATATCAGACAGATTAATTTATAGTTAACATTTTTCTTTGTGTGTTTATATGCTTGTATGATAATTGTTAGTGTTATTTTTAAGACTGGCTGATATATTATACTATTGCTGATGTATTGAAATGTAAATGTGATGTTATATTATGTATATTGTATCAGAATGCACTTAAAATCATAAAGTGGTCTTGCCAAGAAAAGTACCAGTACATTGGCAGTTGCTTCTTTCCTTTCTTCACAACTCTTTTGTTCGTAGAATTACAATCACTTCAAGAAAAGGAGAGCTTATTTGGGACCATATAGTCGTGATTTTGTCCGCCCGTCTGTCCGTTCGAAAAAAATGCTTTCCGATTTAATTCTTGGGTTTTACTTGCTTAAGGCTGATCGCTCACCTGTTTTAAAAAGAAGAAGCTATTTAAAAGACTGTTATAAATAGTATATAAATAACGGTTCTAAAAAAGCAGAACAAAATGGTAGGTCTGTGTCCTTGTTAATTAGATACAATCAATTGAAAATTTGGCGGGAAATGATTCTCTCTAGATTTTTCAAATATTTAACATTGACACTTATTTTCTATGAAAAAATAACAAGGATTTTATAAGATTTTCAAAAATGGCTTTTTAAACTATATGTTATAAAATAATGAAAAGAAAAGTAGGGGTTAGCCGGCAAATTTCTTTTATTGGCACTTCCTGGATAAAACTAGAGGATTCCGAATATCTGACAAAAAGTCGAAAACAAGAGTAGCGAACATCCTTAATTTAAACATAATTACATCAATCAAGGTATAGGGATGTAAAATTAGTCTGCCAATTTTGAGGTCAATAGATGCATTTTGTAGTTTCTGGCTGATTTCTTGAGATACATGTGTTGGATTTGAACAAAACGTACGTAGAGTAGGTGTCAATGATCGGTCATAGGTTAAGGTCACAGTTACAAAAATAGAAAGCCGTACATTGTATGTTTAAAATCTTGATCTCGAGATAAAATTTATCTATGTCGGACCCAGGTTTTACCAAATGAGTGGAGATTCGCCGGAATTTCCTCTCATTTGGCAAAACCTGGGTCCGACATATAAAAGTTTTATATCAATAAATACAAAACGTATGTCATTGATAAACAGATTGAAATGTTGTGCTTGTTTTACATCAAATTTTATAGGTTTTCCCCGTCCCCTTTCACTAAATACGGTTGGAGGGTCAGTCGAATCAAGCTTTACAATATACTTGAATCTCTAATAATATCTAATTCCTCTGAAGGTTTACAATAACAGTATGGGTGTATATTCTTGAATATTGTACAAGATCTCTGTGTAGTATTGTCCATCGTGCAATGTGGAATGGAACTTACTATACTCCGCTGATTTTTGTCAACAAGAAAGGTATGATTACATTAATATGTTGTTATTATGTTAATAATAGGGATGTCAGCTAGGTGAATAATTGATAATCTTTTTTTTGTATCAAAATTATAAGCCTGGTATCTTTGATGACTTTTTTAACAACTACATGGTCGAGGCCACTGCTGGTGGAGGTTTCCTCCCGGAGGGTATCACCAGTCCAGTAGTCAACACCGTCGTGTTCGTGTTGACAGGAATTATCATTGATATGGTCATATTCATAAATTAACTATTTACAAAACTTTCGATTATTCGAAATACTAAGTAGCAACACAACGGGTAGTACTTTTTCACATGATTGTCTTTTTGTCGTCGTTCGTTTTAGCCACAGCGTTGTTAGTTTCTCTCGACTTATGCTATTTGAATGTCTCCCTTGTATTCTGCCTCTTTTTCCCCCAAACACTACCCTACGAGACCACCGCAAAGACAGAGGCAACATATACTAGCATTTTATATTTATGGTGTTTTATATGCAATACGAGGATATAATATTTCTAGTTTTGATATTCAACAACAGTTACAATTATCGTGGTTTCAATTTTCTCACCAGAACATTCCGCTTGATCCGTAGTAGATCATTATTTTCTTTTTACCGGTTTAAATAAAGGCAACAGTAGTATACCGCTGTTCGAAATTCATAAATCGATAGAGAAAAAAACAAATCCGGGTTACAAACTAAAACTGAGGGAACCTGGTTTTGTGGCTAGCCAAACCTCCCGCTTTTATGGCAATGTTAAATATAACATTAAAATGACAACATTACATGACAGGACTACAATACAAATAAATGGGAGAACATATAGGACAGAGAAACATACGAATAATAGCTAACAAAAGGTACCAGGTTTAAAATTTAATACGCAAGACGCGCGTTTCGTCCACACAAGACTAACCAGTGACGCTCAGATAAAAAAAGTACGAAAGCCAAAACAAGAACAAAGTTGAAGAGCATTGAGGACCAAAAGTTCAAAAAAGTTGTGCCAAATACGGCTAAGGTTATATGTCTGGGATAAGAAAATCCTTAGTATTTAGAATAATTCATACTTTTGCAAACAGTAAATTTATAAAAATGACTATATAATCGATATACATGATAACACCGAAGTGGTGAATAACTACAGAATAAAAACGGATACATAAAACAACATAAACCAGCACATAAAAATTCACAGCCGAGTTAGCCAAAGAGATCAACGCAAAAAAAGTGACGTCACATTTGAATTTCTGAAATTTCCCCAAAATAGGATATAATTAGGATAGAATTCATGATTTGGTTTATAATACTCATATAACATTTATTAATAACAATGAAAATTACAATTCTAATTAATATAAAATGTGGTAGTAATTAAAAGAGAGGCGAAAAATACCAAAGGGTGATTTAAACAATAAGTCGAAAACAAACTGACAACACCATGGCAAAAAAAAAAGAAAAGTACCAAAAAGCAAACAAAAGTATACAAAACACAACATAGAAAACCAAAGACTGAACTACACACAACCCACCAAAATCCGGGGGTAATATCAGGTGTAAACAATTTAACAGGTGTTCTATTTTAGAAAAAGAACAGAATGTGTATTTACGAATTCTGCGAGGGATATTAACCTATTTAAACACACGAGGTGAACGCACCTTATTTTTTTTTTATCATTTTAATTTATCAATTGGATTGTTTATTATATATTTCATTTAGTTCAAATTTACTCATAAATCAAATATTAAGTGTCGGAAAATAATACAGGGGCGGATTTAGTGTATACTAGAACATGTGGGTTTTTTGGCAGAAGGGGAGGGGCAAGGGTTTCCCTTGCCTCTTATGGTAAAGGAGTTGTGTGTTATTGCATTTTTCTGATTTTTATCACTTTCCCCTTATTTCTCTATTCCCTTTTTAAAACTCACGTGTCCACCATCTATAGATTTTAAAACTAGAAAATGTTATTGACTGTTAAAACAAAGGTAGCATGAAATAATATTGAAAAACAATATTAGTCCCCTGTACTCGGTTCTAATGACCGTTTTATATAAGGGTTTCTTATTGTCGAGTTGCGATTTACGAGAGTCGAGTTGCGAGTTGCGGAAGTCGAGTTGTGAGTTCATTAAGTCGAGTTGCGAGTTCAAAAAGTCGAGTTACGAGTTCAAAGAGTCGAGTTGCGAGTTACAAAAAATGAAGCTTTTTTTGTTGTTGTTATTTAAACACACTTACTCTGTTGTTATGACTCATTAGAAAGGTATTTTACTTTGTCCATTAGATTGACAAAAATTCTGTCCGCAGTGAAAGAGGGTCTTCAGAAATACTGTGAAACTGTTTACTCGCATAGCGGTATTAACCATATGTGGATTCTAAAAATCTCTTAAGACATTCTGGATAATTTTAAATCTCGATTTTTTTCTCTGAAATTAATTCTATTAAAACTTTTGATTTTTCAACCCTGTATACCACCATTCCCCATGTGAAATTAAAAAGTCGTCTAAAGGAAATAATCCACAATGCTTTTCAATATAAAAATGGTAGCATACGCTACAAATTTATTGCTTTGGGATACCATACGGCATATTTTGATAATAGTGAACAAAGAGGTAAAACATGCTACACAAACAAGTGATCGGTATGCTGGAGTTTCTTATTGACAACAAATTTGTTAAATTTGGAAGTAGACTTTTTCAACAGATTGTCGGCATTCCTATGGGAACGAACTACGGCCTCTCCTTGCCGACATCTTCTTATTTTCATATGAGTCGGAGTTCCTTCAGACACTTGTCAAAACCAAGAAGATCAAAGAAGCCAGATCAATTAATTTCACATTCAGATATATTGATGATGTTCTTTCCAATAATAATCCAAACTTTTCTGATTGGGTTCCATTTATATATCCTCCAGAACTAGAAATTAAAGAAACAACAGACACGGCTTCCTCCGCCTCATTTTTAGACTTATACCTCGAATTTGACATAAGCGGTCATCTTAGTACCAGAATCTATGACAAACAAGGAGATTTTAATTTTGAAATTATAAATTTTCCCCACCTTAGCAGCAATATACCAACTTCACTTGCATATGGGATAGACATTTCCCAACTCCTTCGGTATTCAGGAGCTTCCAGCTGCTACTCAGACTTTATAAAACGTCATCAGTGTCTGATCAGAAAGTTGATGAAACAGGGTTATGTCAAAGAACGTCTCGTCCTTTTTCTAAAAAAAAGTTCATCGGAAGATACCAAGACCTTGTTGATAAATATTTCGTATCAACTTCACAAATAATACATGATGGTCTTGAAGTATAGATTCTAGGTACTGACGTTGTTTATCATCATAATTACGTGATATAGTATTTTTATTTGTCTTTGTATATTTTATACCTTTACAGCTGTTTAGTCCATTTTTGGTAATATGCTTTTGGCGTGGCTTGGTATTTATACATGCCGCCATTGTGTTATTGTGCTATGGTCATTTTTTTGTATTCTTGTCTTTCATTTTTGCTTATGTACTTTGTCTATAGAGTGTCTATATGCCATTTTGTTTTTCTTTGTTGAAATAGTTATTTGTTTTTATAGTGATTAAGATTATAACACAATGTTGACCGCTGTACTCCAATTTTTGACAATTTTATCTATTTTGTCTGTTTGTTTTGCTCACACATTGTTGTCAATATAATGGAATTATATGTGACTGTCATACAAGTGAGAGGTTTAGCTAGCTATAAAACCAGGTTTAATCTACCATTTTCTACATGAGGAAATGCCTGTACCAAGTCAGGAATATGACAGTTATTTTCCATTCGTTTAATGTGTTTGAGCTTTGATTTTGCCATTTGATAAAGGACTTTCCGTTTTGAATTTTCCTTGGAGTTCTGTATTTTTGCTATTTCACTTTTTACTTTACCAATATATTTCATTCTGGCACTGTGATTTTTTGTGTTATTATATCAACATGTAGCCTAAATATAGAAAAATAGTGGAATGTGAAGCGAGATGATGTATGACATATTTTGCTTTATACTTTTTCAGGACAAAACAGTCAACTCAAACACGCCTGAACGTAAAAAGGTGTACCCGACTTTCTGTTTTGAATAAGATCATTGCCAATGTTTAGGATTTCCCCCCAAAAAAAACAGTTCTAGGTGGGGCAGAGATGCAATTTAATGCTTTAAAAAAGATCAATCTTTTATCTTCATATGGAATTTTATTTTCGGTGGAATTTATGCTTATGCATTTTAATGCTTGTGCATGTTAAAGATCCAAATGTATATGCATCTACCATAATCGACCATTTTGTGAAAGTTGTCTTTTTAATTTAAAGTTTCCAAATATTTCTAACCTCTATAAAATTATTATAATTCGAGTATAAACATAATCCTTGAATGCTTTATTTTAAAACATTCTGTCACATATACATTTGAAACAAGAGATAAACATATACAAAATACAGTCACATTTATACCAGGGGATTATAGAAAGAAATCAAACAACTCTAAAATGAAATATGCTAACAATTACTATACGTTACAACAATTTAACTAATTTTGAAACGAATAAAGATAAATATGTAAGTACTTCTATATTACACAATGAAAGACATCTTTTCATTTTTGGTGCGCTCGGATATTTTACATAGTACTCTGGAATGTGTGATTTCTAATATTTTTACGCTCTCTGCGCGTTAAAGAGTTGTAACAAGGGTTCTTCACGTGCAGAGAGTGTGACACTCTCTCTACACGAGGCACTTTAGCAAGGGTTTTATCGGTTGGAACAAGACTAAAGTGACCATATTTCTATTCCCCAGTCACCCTTGGGGATCGAAAGAATTGAAACTCTTAATCAGAGAGGGTGAAAATGATCTAGTTGGTATATTATAATATCAAAACAAACAATCATTTACAAAAAAGCACAAAAGCATCTATCAAATTAAAAACCATATTCATTGCTTCGCGTGTCTGACGTCAGAAAATGTTAACGTCACATAAGAAGAAATTTTGTCGTTCAAT